CTTTCGTACATGTTATCATGTTTAACCATTGAGACTGATATTTTTTGGACTAAAAAAGGAGGCCGAGAGAGCTTCTGACTCATCCCAAATCATACTTAAAAGTGTGGGAGCCTGGCAGAAAACTGATTCCAAGTCTAGAACCTCATGTGGACCGTGGCCCTCTGCATCTGCTAGGAAAAAGATTTTCTTCCAAATGGTGGCTTTCTCCTCAGCTGCAACAGGAAGTTTCTTCAGTAACCAGATCAGCCCCATAGGAGATCACTGAGTGACTCAGAATGGGAAAGAAGATGGTTGTACTAGAGGGCCAAGACAAGTGGCCCTGAGCCCCTGCCAACTGCAACGTCCTCCCCCAGACCATGCAGAAAGGCCTAGATCTTGCCTGCGTGTGGAATATTGACTAGGTTGTATTGATGCGCCACCTGCAAATCTGCCATTCTTTATTGATAACCAATGGCGGTGCCTAAAGTTCAAACACTGCTGGGCGGCTTTCATGTTTGTAAACAGTATTGACGTGCATAAATAAGGGCCCATCAGACTGCAGGATTAAACAAGGATAGAGGCAGAACATTTGGGAGATTAAACCCGGAAGCAGCTAATGAAAATCAGAGCTGGGAACGAAGCTGTAAATGGTGGCCAATTAATCTAAATGCCTTCCAATCCTGGACACCCCAGCACCCCAACTCAGGCTTTCCCAAGCTGGGGGCCAATAATGCTACTTCCTTCTCCTAAAGCTAAAACTGGTCCAGCACTGCCCTTGACTTACCTCCACAGAACCTCCTAGGCCAGTGACTCTGCAGTCAGTGCCAGAAGAACAGTGCTGTCTGAGAAGACTGGGTGGTCTATGGAGAAGACAGACATCTGACATCACCGCGCTGACCCGGATTTTCCAAAACAGCCTAGAAAACAGATGCTTAAACTTTCAATTAAAAAAAAAAAATTATTAACAAGAAAAGTAAAAATAGCAACACTTCCTCCTCAACTCCAAGAGGGTGAGTTTCAAGGACAAGATTGGGTTCAGGGAGGGAGAGAGGCTGCAAATCACTTGTCCTCATTACTTGTTAATTCTTTTTAAAGTGTTTTTGTATTTATGATGGCTCAACCTCAATAGGGCCATGATGAAATGTCCCCTGACCCAAAACAGCCCTATCTGACCACCCTACTGCACTGCCAGGCGAGCTGGGTGTGTGAGGGTGGCAGCCGGTTGCAGTCTGAATAAAGAACTCCTCACACCGACTGATCGCTCGAGGGAAACCTCTTAAGAGCTCTCATAATAGGAGGAGATTCATGCTTTGTTTGGTGTCATCTTCATCATCTTTTTGTTGGTGCCTTTTTACCATCTTCAGTGTGGCTTCCTTCAAAACCAATAAAAATAACGCCCAACACTTATTCGGAATGTATTGTGTGCAGACGTGATCTTAAGCACTTGCATCCATTAGCTTATTTAATTTTCATTAAAAAAACCCCCAAGAGGGAGAACCGAGGCACAAATAGATGTCATTATTGCCACAGTGACTTTATTTTCCCAAGCAATCTCGGAGGCAGGGCAAACAATGTCAGTCCCATTTTTGAGACAAAGAACAGAAGCCCGAGGAGTAAAATGACTTGCTCATAGTCCGAGGTGGACACCTAGGAGAGAGCCCTCTTCAGGACACCTACATGCCCTACTTTTGAAGAGGCGGGGACGGTCCCCAGATACCATGTCTCATCACTTTTTTCATCCATGTTCAGTCATAGGCCCAAACATGCTTCCAGAAGAATTTTTATTGGACTCGGAGAGGATAAGATGCTCTCCAACATGAGGCTGCCACGAAGAATGAAATCAAGTATTTGAAAAAGCAAAATGTTATGAAAATGCATTGGGCAATTATTCTGATTAGAAGAGCTTTTCTCCAAGACAGACCCCAGGGTGGCTGTTTTCTGAGCTGCTCCCAACAAAGTTATCCTCTGCTGGCTTGAGGGGCAAGGGATCTGCATTGTGTGACCACACCTAGGATTTCTGGCGGGGGAGGGAGGGAGGGAGCGAGCGAGCGAGCGGGCGTGTGAGTGAGTGGTATCATGTTCCTGGTTTTAGGTTAGCTCCAGGCCTGGAATGCTTAGCTCATGTGGTTTTTCAAGATTAATCATAAATTACAACAAGCTACTCCCCCTTGGGGTATTTCATTTGCTTCATTTTCTCTCCCAGAGGGCTGAAGGAAGAAAAAATATCCGCTGCACAGCTTTGGAAATTAGCTGCTTGTCACTCACTGGCTCGGAGTGGGATTTGGATCTTGTGGCCTTCGCTCCAGAGCGCTGGACCGGCTCCCCATTAGGCAAGAGACGTGCAGCTGGAAGGGGACCTGCTGCCAAGGCACTTCGGGTGAGGAAAGCCAGTTGCGGGCAGCTCCGCGGTAACGTGAGCCCTGGCTTCTGAGTGCCATCATTTATCTGCAGGTCCCCAGGCACCTTCGAAACTAGGCACGTAGCCCTCCATAGGCATCTGAGGATCCGGAGTGAGCCGGCCAGCACCTTCTCCCTGGAAAGGAAATTTCGCGGTCATATCTTGGGGGAAGGAGCTCCAAGGGAAGTATTCAGGTCCTTGGTCGTCTGGGTGGGGCAGCCAACTGGAAACTGACCCAGGGTGCCTTTCAAAAGGGTCACCCATTGTCTAATTTTATATTATGCAAACTGACACTGCAAACCCAGAATGGATGGAGTCGGTGTTCATGGGAGCTGGATCTGGAGAGTAGAATATGTCGCCATAGTTCCCCAGGCACAGGGTCCATACTGTCTGAAGGAAGCCTGCGGGGGCTGGGGCAGCACATCCTAAGGCATTTGGCTGATACTCGGTGCTCTGAATTCAGAGTGGTGGGAAAACTGGAATGGAAAACCAGGAGGGTGGACAGAAGCTGTGTCACAGGGGCATAGGTGGGGCCAACACGGAAGATCAGGCCCAAGCTGGGCTCCCCGCTGGCAGGTCTAGAGCCGCGCAACTCCTTGCAGGCCCCGCGGTCAGAAGTGCAATGTTCTGCCTGACTTGGGCAGACTGACTCAGGAATGGGGCTGACAGCAGGATCTGGAGAGACGGATCTACTTGGATGCTTCCAGGCCTGCCAGGATTCAGTTCCTGGGGTGCTGGTTGCGGTATCACTGCCAAGTAAGGACACATATCAGAAGTTTGACCTGTAGCCAGAGGGAGATTGATTTATTTCACATAAGCCAACCACTCTAGAAATCTGTTCATTAATTTATTACTTTTTGTCCCAACTTATGAATTCTTTTGCTCCACTAGACTTGGTCCTGATTAAATTTTGACCAGTTGCAAATCCCAAATCCACCAGAGAATTCTTCCTCAGAAAACTGTAACTGTTTCTGCTTCTCGAAAATGAAAGCATTCAGTGTTAGGCTCTTCATCAAGGATAAGGGCTTCCTCCCGTGACCTGGCCTCGACCTGCCTCCTCCTACCATCTCCCACCCTACACATGAGTGGAACCAGTGTACCTGCCAGGCCTCAAACTTACAAGGTGCGTATCCCACTCCAGATGTCTCTGATGCCACATCTTTGCCTGGAGTGTCTCTCTCTCTCCCCTCACCCCCACTTTATATTTTCCAAATTTCTTCTCATTCTGATCTAATTGGCTACCACTTCCATGATCTTTAAAAAAATGAGGGCTGCCATAACAAAGAGTCGCAAAGTGGTTGGCTTAAACAACAAAAGACATAATGTCTCACATGTCTGGAGGCTAGAAGTCTGAAACGGAGGTGTTGGCAGGGTTGGTTCCTTCTGAGGGCTGTGAGAGGGAGAGCTGTTCCGGGCCTCGCTCCTTGGCTTGTGATTGGCCATCTTCATGTTCACATGGTGTTCTCCCTGAATGCATGTCTCTGTGTAAAATCTCCCCCTTTTGTAAGAATACCAGTTATATTGGGTTAGGGCCCAACCCTAATGATCTCGTTTTAACTTGATTACCTTTGTAAAAATCTGATCTCCAAAGAAGGTCACATTTTGAGTTACCAAGATTAGGACTTCAACATATGAATTGGCGGGAGTGGGCACAATTCAATTCATAATAGGAGGCATCCATGGTTAAAACTGTACTGCTTTAGTCCATGATCAGAATTATTTGATTTTGTGCTCCGAGAGAGGTAATATAAAGAGAGGATTATATAAAGAAGAGAGGTGTGTGCTAAAATAAGAAGCAGAGGTCACCATTATCAGGCCACTTGAGGTACCTTCTTCTAAGGGAGCAAATGTTTCATGGAGGACAGAAGGTACGGGTCTTACGCATGAGGGTATGTTTTGAAAAATAGACCATATCAGTTAGAATAGGCTAGGTTTTGCTGTAGTAACATACATTCGCATAATCTCAATGGCTCATAACCACAAAGGTCTGTTTCTTGCTCATGCTGCAAGTTCACTGCAGGCCGACTGCAGCTCCCTGTCGTCCTCACCACTGGACCCAGTTGATGAAGCAGCCTCTATCTGGAACTTTGCCAACTTTGTGGCAGAAGAAAAAGACATATGGCAAATCAGGCATAGCTCTTACAGCTTCTTCTTGGATAGAGCTCACATTTCACTGCCCAAACGAAGTCACCTGGCTAAGCCTGGTATCAACAGGAAGGGGTTGCCATTGCAGGGAGAGGCACTGAATATAAGCATTCATAAGTCCAGTATACCACTCAAACATAAGCACCATGACTTATCTCTCTAAGAAAACCAGCTTTCTGTGACTTGGGGCTGTCATTTTATTTCTCTAGCCCTCAGTTTCCTCCTTCGATAAATAGGAATCATAATACTTATTCTACTTTCCTTACAGGGCCATTGAGAACATTAGCCATGATACTAAATATGTTTGGCGAATAATTCTTAAAGCAACCCAGGGACAAAGGGCAAAAATCTACCATATTCGTGATACTAAGTAAATTGTAGTTCATATCAACTGCAAAAACGGGTAGCCAGTGACAAACCAGGTCCTTCCCCTGAACTCCTGGAAGGGAGGACAGCCTGCTATGGTCAGTGAGTTCTACAAGGAAGGATGAGTTATCTTGCTGACATGTGAGTCCACTCACCACGGTGAACTCTTTCCTTTAAACAGCTACCCTATTCTCCCACATCCCTGGCTAGTGCAAGAGCAAACATTGGTCTGCATCAAATGAAAATGAACAGAATGTTATTGCCACCTGCATTTTGTAGTTGAGGAAATAGGCTCAGAGAAAATAAGCAACATGTTCAAGGTCACACAATTAGTAAACACATAGCACTTCCTGTAAGAACTTTACATACGTTAATGTTTAATCCTTGCAACATCCGTATGAGTTGAGTGCTTTCACCATTCCCGTTTCACAGATGAGGAAACTGAAGCACAGAGAGGTGAAATAATTTGCCCGCCATCACACAACTCCTAAATGGCCAGTCTTGGGAGAGCCCTGGGGTTGGATATCCTAATATGCACATTTTTCTCTCCATATTTTAGCATCTCTGAAATTGGGATGTTTTTTAATTGATGGCATGTCATAGTTGAAGAGTTAACTTTTTTTTCTTAGTGGTATGTAAAATAACCGTATGTCTTAAAATGGATGACATCTTACTTGGAATCGATGAAATATGGGACATGATTTCTCCTTGACCTGCCCCTCTCCACTTCCCTTCATCAATTTTAAGATTTAAAAAATGACTCTTCCTTCTGGATGGAGAAGAAACGAGACATAGATCCCATCATCATTCCTTCCCCGTCCCTCTAGCCCTCTGGGTGAAAATGCTGGATGGACACGCTGACAAAAGCCAGCCAGCTCAAACGCAAGGCAGCAAGCATGGCTGTGTACCGTCCTGGGTAAGATGGGGTGTTTAGGGGAGAGTGGAGCCGTTCCAACCTGCATTTCCATGAGGTCAGAGTCCTGGCCGGAGGTCTCGGCACACAGAACCCACTTCTGTTCCCCAGTGCCGAGTGCAAACCCATTCTCTGATGTGCAGAGATGAAGCCAGGAAACACGAGTAGGAACTCAGAGGCCACTGCAGAAGGCACGTCTAAGGCGCTGCCGTTACTGAACAAGATGCAAATCTATGTCCGTTTCTTGGGGGGTAAATACTACCACATGTTCCTAAAACTCTCACATCATTTAGTCTGCGCTGACATGAGTCCCCTTGGAAGAGTTAGCATTTGGTTAGGTAAACGTTTCCCCTCTCCCCCTCCTCCCACCCCCACCTCCGTGGTTCTCCATCAATATCTTGCAGATGTTGGAACAAGCCGATGACTGACTTCTTTCCCACACTGGAATGCTGGTTCAGGGAAGAATGCAGCCAAGCTTTCTGGCCGCTGTGACCCTCAGCTACGACGGGCCTCCTACATTCTCTTGCTTGTGCATCAAGTCTTTGGCTACTCGCTGCCAAGTATTAAGTACTTGTTCCACAAACCTGGTGTAGATTATCACTTCGCTGTATAGATGTATCTAATAGAATTAAATAGTTGGCTCCTGACCAGTAACAGATGTGCTACATATAATGCAATAATAATGAGATAGAAACCACCATGTAATATCGAGGGAAGAGTGGAGGGCGACTTGCATTTCTCTAGTTGGGAAGCCAGCTTGGAGGAAAAAGAAACTAGAAAGGATGGCCATTTATGTGCATTGAATAAGCTGCCCCTATGTGTTTCAAATTCTCCAAGGGGTGTCTTTTGCACTCCCGCGCACATACATGGCAGGGGAGGCACACAGCGTGGGGATGGCATGGTTTGTGCTGGAGGGGGACGGATCCAGCTCCATAACCATGCTGGATCAGTCCCATGCCCCCAAACTGGTGCTGCTCGGCATTGGGGGACTGTAATGAGATCATAACAGGATAGTCTCTTGCAGGCTGCTCTAGGTGAGGGCTGACAAGTGAAACCTGATCTCGGGATATCACCCACACGGACAGGAGTAAGGCAAAAGTATAGATGAGGACAGAAGGAAACCAGGCCACTGCTGGGCAGGTCCCCAGTGCAGGGGACTCCAGCGCTCTTTCCTGAACCTCCCTCAGAATTGAGGGGTCTCTGGGCACGTGTTCTCTCTAAGAGTTGACAACTCTGGTTCCTGGGACTGCTCATCAGGAGACCCAGAAGGGACTGTGCCTACAGTGAAGGAGCAGCCAAACTCGACCCTAGGGTCAAAAGGCAGCCGCGGGGGTGGAATTCCTGCTATGTAGCAGCGCTTCCTATGAGTTCAGAGCCGGGCTGCTTTATTCTGTTGCTGTTCCCTCCGTCTTCTTCCCCATTGTCCCCCTCTTCTCTACGCTGCAAAACCAATGTCGCTGAGTAACAAACAACCTCAAAACTTAATATATGGCTTTTCCCCCCACAAGTTTATGGGTCATTCGGCCGATCTGAGGGGCCTCACCAAACTGGCAGGGGACCGACTGGCTGGTCTAGGATGGCCTTAGGTCCTCATAGCTCTCCGGCCCTCCAGTAGGCTAGCCCCGCTATGTTCTTATGGCAGTGTCAGAGTTGTGAGAGAGAGCAAGGCCAGTTGCACAAGAGCGTTGGTGGAAACAGGCGTGCACTTCCAAACCACTTACATCATATTTGCTAGTATCCAATTAGCCAATCATGTCTCATCTGAGTGAGAAGGGACTGCAAAGTTACAGGGCAAAGGGCAAGGATTCAGGGAGGCTGTTAATTAGAGCCATCGATGCAGTCATTCTATTATAGTATACTTGGAATTTTCCAGAGGCTTTCAAGTCTACAGGTTAGGTACAGTCAATGAGACAGATCAATGACATGCCCTAGAAACCCAATCTTCCTTCATTCCATCCACAGAAATGGTCAAGGGGCAGCTGGGCCAGTTTCTGGTTGTTTCCCCCTAGACTTCCATCTTCTACTTTCCCACACACTGATACTTTGGGATCGCCTGCTTCTCCCGCTTCTCTTCCCCTGTCCTAACATATGCATACACACTCACTTTCCGGGGACTCTTCCCGCCGCAATTCTCAGCCCGTAAAAAAAATGGGTAAGACGCTGACAATCTGGGTGTGAGAGCACAGCAGACAGTCCCAGAGAGATTAGGTAGCAAGAGATGCAAGATAAAGGTGAAAAACAGACTCGAGGCTGAGAGGAGTTCAAATAAAACCAGGGCGCCCTGGGTCCAGAGGTGCAACTGAGGCCAAGACAAGATGAGGGCAAACAGGCCCACCTCGTCAGGTAAACGAAATCGAGGGCAGCATAGACAAGCGGTCCTAACAGTACCAAAAGAATCGCTCCAAAAGCGAAAAGAAATGGAGCATAATAATTGCTCAATAAGTGTGTGTGGCCTGACTGGCTAGGAAACTATTCTAAGAAACCAACGGAATCTCAAACAAAGATTTAGAAACAAGGAGAGTCATCGAAGCATATTTGTAAGATTGGAAACAAACAGAACTTCAACAATAAGGACGTGATTCAATAATTTATGCTACATCTATATAATGGCATATCATGCAGTTATTTAAAACGATGTTTTAAATTAAATTTTTATGACTGCAGGAGAGCCTCGCCATGTAATTTGAAGTGAGAAAGCAAGTTACAAAACTACATGCAATAGGATGCCAAGTAGGCATAAAATAAATGTGGTTTTAAGAGTGGTTTATGGGAGATGTTTGTATCTTTACACGTTCTATGTTTTCCAGGTTTTCCAGACTGAGTCTATATCTCCTTTATGACAAAAAACAAAACAAAACAACTGAAGGTCCGAAAAGAACATGGATCTTAATTTTGAAACAGGGGCCAGGATATTTACTTTTCATTAATTTTCAGGCGCTCTTTAAATACTCTTATACGCTCTCCTGTATTTTCACTGGTAGCCCTTTCTGCATGTTGTGTATAGTTGGTGGTCTCTCATCTCTCTTTTCCAACAGAACATAATCTACAGAAGGGCAAAGATTTTGACTGTCTTGTTCATCGATGTGTCCCCAGCACTCACCACAGCCTTATAACAGCAGGCCCTCAGGAAATATTTGCTGAGTGAGTGAGTGAATGAATGAATGAATGAAAACCACTCAAGGGGATTCCTTTTCCCATCTACTGAGTCAACTAGGATGTCCTGCAGTGTCAGTATTAGGAGCACCTTGATTGATCCATAGAGAGAATTGTTAGGAGCAACTTTGATTTGTGAGTACTCACGGCCTCCAATGGTATCAGCTGCCAGTTGGGGGCTTAGCATGGCACCAAGCACTGTGGTGGGCAAGAAGTCAATGCTTCCTGAGACAGACAGGGCATTCGTAGGATCAAAGCAGGGAACTGGAGCAGAGAACATAAAGAAAGGCTCAGTTAAACATGGCTGCTGCTTCCCTCTTGAGACATACCATCCTTGAGATCTTCAAGAACCAATAAAACTGTTCTTGGCCTCCTGCACCATTTGGGGGGCAGCATCAGAAACCCCACACCTGTCCTCCCCACCCATTCCCTTGTGAATGATGCATATTCCAGACCCTGCTCTGTCTTCCACCGTATAGAACTCACTCGATTGTATCTCAGCCAGTTTTTTTGTCTCACACGCAGGTCCAAATGGTAACTATTAGTGACTACTAGTTAACTCTTCTTATAGTTATTCTATCCTATTCTTTATCCATGTCTGTGTCACTCTTTTCCAGGCACATCCAAAAAAAAACCCCTTTATTTCCATCTTTTCTTCTTATCTCTCTCTTCCCCCTCAGACCTATGTTCGAATCCTCCCCCTTCCCTTCAAAAGTCTCAAACACCACTAAAGAGCAAATGAGTAATGTCAGTGACAGGAAAGAGAAAAGAAAGTGAGTAGCAAAATGAGCCAGAAAGAGCACATTCGCTGTTTAAGGTCCTTGAAAGTACCAAGTTTCACGTCAGAATCTTCTCACCATCCTTTAATTAAACCTGCCTTTACACACCCACCAGTGCTTGAGATAAAGAAAAATGAGTGTTTTTATCAGGTGTCTTATTGGTCTCTTGTTTCCTTATATGTGAAGTTTTCCACTCATAAAAGCACACACAAGCAGTATTTCACGTTGTAATAGCAATGGCTACTGTTAATTGAGCCCTTACGTTTGCCCAGGCAGTGTGCTTAGGACTACCTGAATTATTTAATTATCTCAACAACCCATGAGCTAATACTATTATTATTTTCCATTTTCCAGAGGGGAAAACTGAGACTCAAAGAGAGTAAGCAACTTGCTAACAGCCATTCAGTTTACCTCTTCGTAGACTGATCTGGAAGAATAATCACCATTTATAGCATTATTTCCACCAGAAAATATATATTCCTGTTCCCAAAGACTCGCACGCACGCGCGCACACACACACACACACACACACACACACGGAACCCCAGCTGCTTCTGCTTCTTCGAAGAGGGAGAAGTCAATGCGTATGACACTTTTGTCACTGTGGAAGATTCCAATGTGGGTGGCTTCTGGTGATAAGCTTAATAGATCTGCCTCTGGATTAATGCAAGTTCTTGTGCACCATCACACGCGCCCGCCCCCTAGTCACAACGATCGATTGGTCCACAAGGTGAACCTGTTAAGGTCGACCAACCAATTCCTTAGGATTTAAAGAATTGAAACCAGGAGGAAGTCCTACTCTGCCTGCCTCCTATGTTATCACTGAAATTCTGTGAGTATGAGGTTGCTGAAGCCTACGGATGAATGAGGGGACGAGGCTGGAGGAGAGAAAAAAGCGAAGAAGGAGAGGCAGAAATCAACACTGAGAAAGAGGGAAGGAGGAGAGAATGAGATTCAGTCCAGTTGTCCTTAAGTTCTCTTTATTCAGGTTCACGAGCTGCCCCTTAACCGCTTCCTTCCTTTTACAAGTGAGGAAGGAAACAGAGTCAGGGCAATGAAGATACTTGCTCAAGGTCATGCATTAAGCTAGTGGCAGAGCGGAGCCTGGAGCCCAAGTCCCTGACTCCCAGCACAGCACACCCACGTGCCCGAGGGGCTGAGGGCAGGAACAAACTCAGGGCTGAGAACAGAGGAGAAGGTAGTGCTCTGTGCGTTTGGTTATGCCCAAGGCTTAGTCATCCATGCTAAGCTCATGCGTAGCTCCATGACTGCTGCCTGGCTGGCTCAGCGGCAAACTAGTCGATGCCTCATTAACTGGATCCACCTGTGGGCACTTTATTTAATTATCTCAATTGGAATGGAGTCAAGATGCTGGAGTTAATATCCTTCCACTTTCTGAGAGCTAATTATCACCTGTAGCTTGGCCCCAGGCACATACGGAAGGGGTCACCAACAGCACTGTAAATGTGTCGACTGAATCGAGAGCTTTCTCTCTCATTTCGGTGGGAAAGGTGAGTTAAACATGACAGAAGGTCAGAAAGCATCTGGTCCAGCGTGTGCCTCCAGAGATTAGAGCTTTGTGCCCTGGGTTGTCCATTCCCATCACCAGGCTGGGCAAAAGGAAGTGCCCAGAATCTGGGACCTAAAAACAACAACAGCTGCCTCTTACGGAGCACTCACTGTGTGCCAAGCCCTCCTCAGCTATTATCATAAACTCTCACAACAGCTTTGTTCTGGGAAGGGTCTGTTGGCTCAAAGCAGTTAAGTGACTTGCCCCGAGTTTCACCGGTAGGTGGCTAACCTAGCATTCAAACTTCGTCTGGTTTATTGGTTTATGTTGGAGCCGTATCTTTCCCCTGACCCTTCTGCCTCATGGTGGGGAAATGATTACCTACTGTGTGCCAAGCACTGTGATCAATTCTGTAAATATAAAGATATATTTACTTTTCATATATCCATTTCCTTCAAGGATCTCACAAAGGTCGTTTTGGTATTAAAATAATTAGATTTCTCGGACACCGTAAGAGTAAGGTGTTGCAAAGAGCACGTAGAGTGTGAAACCAGAAGGTGTGGATTTGATTTCCAACTCCACCTCTCCCTAAATGTGTGATCTTCCATAAATCGCTTACCTTTTCTAAATTCGGCCCCTGCTGATGGAACATGGAGCATGGAACTTGTCCCACATACCCTGTTTGTTTCATGGGGGTACCAGGAGCTCAAGTTAGATGACATATGTGAAAACTCTGTTTAGAAATGCATGGCTTTGTTTGTTGTAGAGACTATTATTATTGGCTGGACTCCAAGATTGACTTGACTCCTCCAGGAGAAAGGCTTGATTGTAGCATAATTCACAGGCGAGAGGTCTCCGCTTATAAAATTGGGGTCTAGAAATGGGAACTAAAATCCCTGCGTAGGAATTCTTTTTTCGGCCTTGCACGGTCCCAGGGGTAAACAGAAAGAGTCCCTCTGTACCTTGAAAATGAGCCACTGGTTAATAAATAATAAACAAAAATCATAATTTACTTACATACTTTCTGGAACCGGAATTTAAGACGATTTTCTCCCATTTTTGCCTAGAAGAGTGTTCCAAGGGAAACTGTTGGTCTTGATAAATAACAGTAGCATATGCCATTATTGTATTTCTTCCTTCATTTGTCATATATCAGGAGGGCATTTTAGGGGTTGCCCTATAGGCAAAAAATAGGATCGCAGGTACTAACTAGATAGACCAACTTGCCAGTTTATCTTACAGGGGCAGTGCCTGTTTTCCCCAAAAAGCTCTTGACATAGACACCTAAGGAGGTTATTCAGTGTCAGATCCAGGGTGGCCGACTTGCCCCAACTTGTCTGGGACATTCCTGGTTTTAGCATTGAAAGTTCTGCTTCCCAGAGTCCCTTCAATCCTGGGAACACTGGGACAGTTGATGACTCACACTTCACATTCTCCCTCTGGTGCAGACAGCACAGTGGGGCCGAGTCGGCTCTAGTACCCAGCAAGTGCCCCACCCCTCCTCTATCCTGTAGGGCAAATTGTTTAACTTCTCTGAGCCTTAGTTTCTCCATCTGTAAATGGGGATAACAGCAGAACCTGCCTCTCAGATCATTGTGAGGAGAAGATGAATGTATGTGGAAAGCACGCCACATGGGGCAGGCACGTGGAACCAAATAATCTTAGTTATTGTCACTGCCTGGTGCTGGCCACAAGGAGCTTACACTCAAGTCAAGGTGACAGGACAAATACCTTCCAATGTAATTTCGTGTCTTCTTCCTCTTCCCTTCCCATCTCCCTTTCTGATTTTTCCTCCTTCATGACTTCCTCTGCATCACTGTTTCTTGTTCCCTCATCCAAGCATGCAAGATGCTGTATCTTTCACAGTGCATTATTCATTTCTTGGCAGGGAATACTGTCCTCATAAGAATTAACATTTGGGATTTATTTACTGGCTTACAAAGTGCCAGAATTGCATGAGGAATTCAGTTGCACAAACTCTCTTGATGGGAAATCAATGAGAAATTGAGAAGAAGGGGGTCTTGAGGATCAAACAGCAAACCCTTCGCAATCCTTGTTTGAAAACTCGGTCCTGGCTGATTTATTGTCGTTCCCAAAGTGGTGTGGGGGAGGGACGAGGTCTCTCTCTGGAGTCCCGTCGGTGACCACCAAATTGAACAGTTAGACCCATTCCCAGTCTTACATGAGATTAGTCACAGGATATTTCATTTTAAATCCAATGGAATGTTTTCCTAAATCAGACAAGACTCTTTCAACATTTATGGCTGTTTTGCTGG